TTCCATTTCTTTCCTTGTTTTATAAAGAAAAAAAATTTGCTTTTTGAGATTTAACTTTCATTTGGTCTGTACTGGCCAACCTAACACTTTAAAATACCATGTGGTATTTTGATTTTTTTTTTTTAAATTTTATTTGTTTATTTGACAGAGAGAGACACACACAGCAAGAGAGGGAATATAAGCAGGGGGAGTGGGAGAGGGAGAAGCAGGCTCCCCACCAAGCAGGGAGCCCAATGTGGGGCTTAATCCCAGGACCCTGGGATCGTGACCTGAGCCGAAGGCAGATGCTTAAGGACTGAGCCACCCAGGCACCCCTAGTATTTTGATTTTAGAAAGAGTGTTCAGACTGGTGGGGAAAAAAAAAAAAACATATAGCTAATTTGCCTAGCACCTTTGCATTGTGAGAGTTTTCTGTTGGACCCTGACTCAGAGTTTAGTGGAATTAAATAAAACTATTGACTTTTATCAAAAGTGAGTCCAAAAAGTAGGCAAAGCAAAACAAGAATGTGTTTTATATGTGTATATGTAAGTAATGTGGTAATCAGCCTATTAAATAATTGACTTGCGTCTTCTCCTTTTCTTCACCAAACTTAATTCTTTGCTACTTACTATACTTATTTGGAGAAAAAAAAATCCAGAACAATATTTTCCCTGATCAGACCTACAGTCAATTTCTTTTTTTGTTTGTTTGTTTGCTTTTTGGTTTTTGGTTTTTGGGTTTTTTTGTAATGAAAACCTTGACACCAGCAGAGATTTGTTTTTTTTAAAGCTCCCAGGATCCCAGTGTACTAGTCTCCTCACAGTTAAAGAGAAATAATCTAAATAAATGTATAATGACCTGAATAAATTTAAGGGGCCATCATTTTACCAAAACTAGTATGTCTTTCTGAAAAAGCATTTCTTATAAAACCATACCTTGCCTTTGCCTAGACAGAGTAAGGACTTCATTAAAGGAACAAGGAGGATAGCAAGGCTTACCTCGTAGCTCAGTTGAAAGGACAAGGGAACAAGAAGTCATGATTCTTCTGTTTTTGCCCAGCTGTTTCTCTATTCTCTTCTGTGTTTTCATTTTCTTTCTTTTTTTTCAGACTTGACTTTTTTAGAGCAATTTTAGGTTCACAGCAAAATTGAGAGGAAGGTGCAGAGATTTCCCTATCCACCCACCACACACACACACACACACAGCTTCCCCCACTATGACTACAGTGGTTGCTTTGTTACAGTCAGTGAAGGTGCACTGACACATCAGCAATGTCACCCAGTCTTTAGAGTACATTGGAGTTCACGCTTGGTGGTGTGCATCCTGGGCTTGGACGAATGCACAATGACATGTATGCACCATTATCGTACCGTACAGGGTATTTTCACTGCCCCGAAAATCCTCTGCGCTCCACCCGTTCACCCCTCCACCCTCAGCGCCTGGCCGTCACTGATCCTTGCACTCTCTGTAGTTTTGCCTTTTTCAGAATGTCATACTGTTGGAATCCTTCAGCACATAGTCTTTCCAGATTGGCTTCTCTCACTTAGCAATGTGCATTGAAGTTTCTTTCATGCCTTTTCATGGCTTGGTAGCTCTTTTCTGTTCAGTGTTGTTCAGTGAGTGGCATTCCATTGTCTGGACAGAGCACAAGTTATATTTATCTACTCATCTACCAAAAGCCATCTTTGTCACTTCCAAGTTTTAGTTTTGACAATTATGAATGAAGGTGCTGTAAAGTCATGCGCAGGTTTTTGTGTGAACGTAGGTTGTCAACTTCTTTGGATGAATAGCAATGAGTGTGATTGCTGGTTCGTACGGTGAGTGTGTTTAGTTCTAGAAGACACACCAAACCGCCTTCCAGAGTGGCTGTGCCATTTCACATTCCCACCACAACAAACGAGAGTCCCCGTCTTCACGCTCCTCAGTCGTGATTACAGCCTCGCGGAAGTGGGGAAGTCATACCTGGACAAGCCTGGCTCGGCCCAAGACTTGTACTAGTTAAACTGAATACTTTTGGGACTTCGTGTGAGTTCTCACCTGGTGGGGTTGCAATGAAGCCAGCTCAGGGAACATCCCCACTCTCCCCCAAACAACAAGGTGCTCAGCATTCATTCTCGGAAGTGCCAGATGAAAGCATTTGAATGCAGATCCTTCAAACAGGACCAGTTCTGCGTGCAGAACAGTGCATTCATGTTCTTTGTCCTGAGTCATCGTCCCCTTGTTCCCGACCCCAGGTACTCCCGACAGCTCCTCTCGTCCTCACATCTGTCCCTTTTGGTCATTAGCTGGCAGGGATATCCTATTTCTACAGTTCAGGAGAGCATGCCCATAAAGAGCATAGACTCTGGAGCCACGTTGCCTGGGAACAAATCCCGGCTCTGGCCCTACTGCGCTATGATTTTGGACAACCTTCTTAACCTCATCATGCTTCAGATTCTGTTTCTGTAAACTGGGGACCATAGTAGTTTAAAAGGGTCACGTGTAAACACATGGTAAGAGCTCTGTATGTGTTGGTAGTTGTTTGGATCATTATTTTTACTGTTATTCTTACCCTGAAGCTCATTATGGCCTTTAAGTCTCTCACTGTGGTCTGCCTTTTGTAGCGTTGGCATACATTAATCGTGAGGATTTTGCCTTTCGGGTGGATCAGGTGCATCAGTAGACACGTCTGATTCAGAGGAATGGACTTCCTTTTACTGTGACTTGTAGATGTTGTCGGGCACATTTCCTCTGGATCAAAGATGGGGAAATGTGAGTAAACGTAGAAGAATTTATTGTGAAAGCATTGTAAAAAGGAAAGAAAAAAAAAAAAAACCAAACCCAAAACCTCTGAAACTGAAGGAGAGAATAATTATATGTATTGAGAGAGATGAGAATCATTTCAGTGAAATTGAGCAAAAGAGATTACCCCCAAATTGTTTCAAGACTACCAGAGTAAATACCAAAATAAAAATACAATATAAGCTTGACTTTGGATAAAAATATGAGTATGTCACCATCATGCAAAGAACCACTGTCTGCCAAAGACATCTGATGTTTGCACAAAATATTTTCTTAGTATTTTTTTCTTACCGTAACTTCCTCTGGCTTTCTCTAATGGTTGGTATTATTACATGATACCATATGTAGGACGCACTTCTCTTTGGGAATAAAAAAAAATTTAATCCTCTGAGAATTCAAGTTTCAGGGTGTGTCTTAAAGCAAGGGTAAAACACGCCTTTTCTATGTTGTCAAATAGAATCAAAGGGTGGAAAAGCCTATCCCATAGAGTCCTGTTACTCCAGGAACCTGCAGCCATTGTACAGCCTTGGCATGTTTTTCAATAACCGAGTATCACAATTGATGGTTGACTTAGGGCTTGTATTTTTCCAAAGAGATGAGTGATACAAGCTGAAGATGTCAGCAACCCTCCCTCCTTCCACCCTGTCCTACTTACCAATCTGCATAACAGACAAAAACCAAGAATGTTCTGCGAGCCAAATGTAGTGATGACTAGTCTGTGATGGTTTTGTGGAGGCAGAAATAGCAAACCCAGGAGCTCCATACCGGCAGAGACCTCACGACCCAGCCCCAGCCCAGCTGGGATAACAGTTCCCATCTGCTCAGCGCTTACTGTGTTCCGCACCATTCTAATCTCTTTCCATCTGTTAATCCATGTAATTCTCAGAACAACTTCATGAAGTAGCTACTCCCGTGATCCCCCATTAAGGCACAGAGAGGTTATGAAACTTGACCTAACTCAGGAGCTCCGAAGCCATGACACTGGATTCAAAGAGTCTCCAAGAGCGTGGACTCTTCAGCATACCCTTTCCAGCCTCTTAGGACAGTAAATGTTTGGTAAATGTCCAAACAGAGGAGACAACAGAAGAGCAAATGAAGACAGGGAGGAAGAAGATGAGGGAACTAAAGCTCTAAGATTGTTGCTAACGCAGGGGCCGCAGGCTGCAGATTGTGTAGGTGAGAGAGAGTCCTGTGTGGCGGTCCCACGGCCTGCAGTCCGCTCCAGCCCACTGCTCCCATGGCCCTACAGATGCCCGCTGTTCCTCTCTGACTCGGGGGTGACGCTCTTAATAAGAAGAGTGAACAACTTATTCTAGACTGTCGCACACACACGTATACATGCATACACACAAACACCTCTATACATATAGATACGTAAATTTTAAAATGTGGAAATATTGAAACACACAAATCGAGCATCACCCATAATGCGGCCACTTTTAAAAAATGATTATAAAAAAAAATGATTATAAAGAAGTTAAATATCCACCTTTCCATAAGCAGATGTCTCCCTCAAAGGTCAACACTTTAATAAAAGTTTGATATGTTTAGACACACGCAGGCATAATAAAATGGGGTCGTAATTATGTAATATAGACATTTGACATTATTTTTATCTGAACCTCATCTCTTAAGGCCATAGAGTATTCCCTTCTGTAGATATGTCATGATGTTTTTACATTGTACTTTGGACCATCTACTCACAGGATTGGTTTTCTAAGTGCATAGTAACAATAGCCACTTTCCCCAGTGATGTCCAAATCCATTGCAGGCCCAAGTACAAGCGCACTTCAAGGCTAGAAGGATAGCATGAAAGTGTGTCAGCAAAATGTGGATATTAAAATGTGGCTACAGAACTCCCTGTGAGGCCAGGAGAAAAACAAGGAGGGCGGGGCAACTGTTAAACAGTTTGAGGTTTTAAAAAGCAACTGTAGCCAAACTGTGGTGATGACTGAGCAAAATTTGTGACGACTAATGAAAAATCCGATTAAATGGCAATGTAAAAATAGACTTTTGTTCCTTAGATTCCATTTATCTTTTCTTTTAACTCATTCCACTCTTTGGCTAATTTAATGACAAGAGGAAGAAGTTTGCCATTGGTAGGGTGAAAGGAATCATTTCTGCACCTTCACGTTTCTTCACTGTTAACATATTTTAAGTGAGGTAGTTGTACGGCAGATTTGATTTGTCTAACTTCAGGTCCTTGGTAATTGGTTAATGAGTGATGCTCTCCGCCTAGTGACTTCAGACGAAAGCAATAAAACCTGGGGACGGAACACGGTCTGCCGACAAGAAGAATTTGAAGATGTGAAAAAGAATTTCAAGAAAAAAGGTTGTACCTGGGGACCCAATTCAATTCAAATGAAAGAAAGAAATGATAGCAAAGAAAGGTAAGTGTGTGATATCTGGGGGCTCTTCAGCATAGACTGTGATGGGTAGCAGTGCCTTTGAGAATTTCCACATTGGCCCAACTTCACTTTTACAAAGCGATTGGAATAGTACAGAGATATCTGAATATTAATTTCATTTCAAGGATGAGTTTATCCTCCTAAGTTATGTTATTATGCAGTTAAGCAGTTAAAAAACTTTGATATATTTCCTGTCTCATTTCAAGATTTTAAATTTGTGCTTTGTTAGCCCTTCAGAACAATACAATGTTGTCCGTTTCCTACTTAAAAATGTTGCTGGCATATATCTGTGAAAACCTAATTTGTGTGTCACGTGGTTCCATCAAAATAAACGTTTTTCTCTTTTAGAATAAGACCTCTCTCAGACGGTAACAGTCCTTGGTCAACTCTCTTAATAAAGAATCCGAAAACCATGCCATTGGCTTCATTATTTGTGGACCAGCCAGGTAAATGTGCTTCAGGAAATAGAATTTGTTTGAGTTACACTTAGCATCTGAGCGTTCTAGAGGCTTTGTTTTAATAGTTTCATGTGGTCCTTCAAGTAGCATAGGAAAGATTAGCAAGAAGTAGCGTTGCTTATACCTTTACTTAAGCTCAAAACTTCCTTGCTGTCCTGTAAGTCTTTATGACGTAAAGTAATTAGGCTCCACATTATTCGTTGGGAATTTGTAACTCCTATTCTCTCCCAGAAAAATTAGTATCATAATTAATTCTGTAGAATCAAATTAATATAGTGTAGGAGATAGCAACTATGAACACATAGACATCCTGAAATTCTCCTGAGATTTCGGGGTGGTCTCCTGGCTGCATTGCCACCTCTTAATAGGACGAAATTTTGTCAAGCAGGTTCTCTATGGAAAACCACCACTTAGAGAGAATTACATTGGAATCTCTTTAATTTAGATGAATCATAATTATTTTTAATATTTAGTATGCCTATTCAATATTCAGATATTAAAAGGTTGCAGAGATATGTTGTTGAAAAACCTCAAGGATTGTCATCACCAAAGAAAAGAAAATTGGTCTTTAAACTTGACAATTTAAGACAGCCCTTTGACACTGTGCCCAAATTAAAGATGCTTTAGCAGAACACGGTGTCCATTTCTTGAATTTGTCATCAGTGCCGTGCTTAATTTTACAAGCACTCACTACCCATGTTCACTTTTCCTCTTTTGCATTGTCATGAGGATGTGGTTTCAGTATAAATATCTGCACAGGTACATTTGGGTATACGCAAGACGGGTGCTAAATGCTTCCTGTTGTCGCCTTCATGATGGTATTCTGACTCTTGCCTATGAAGGTAGGAGGTTCTCCTCTTATTACATGTTATGTTTTATTCTCAAATACAGTTTGAAGACTAAGGAAGAACAACTAATTGTAATGAAACTGTTCTTCCTATAGTGTCTTTTTCATTATTTGTGACTAATCAGAGAGATTAATCAGAGAACCTTTTCTCCCTCAATTCTTTTATTGTTATTATTATTATTATTATTTAGAATGTTCTGACCCATTAATAAGTCCTCCAAAGAGCAGTTGGAGGAAATACAAGGATATATTTGGCTGACTCAGCTTAGTCTCCATTAAGTTAACTCTTGAAGTTCACGTGACGAATTAATGAGAAGGTTTACACTTGTCTGTCCCACCTGCAGGTCCCTTCCCACCACCCATCTGTGTGGTCCTGTCCTGCTAAGCATTTGTGTCTCAGCCCGAGTGTTTCCTAAAAGCTTTTCCTGGCCACCTTTGCTGAAGCAGCATCCCACCCCATCCCTGCGTCTCATCACCCAGTCTTATTTATTCATAGCTCTTATCCGAAATTCTTATTTGTCTACATTGACACCCTTAATGTTCATGTTCTCTTTCATTCCCAAACTGGAATGTCAAGGATTTTATTAGGTTTGTTTATCACTCCCAATGCCTGAAACACATCTAACACTCACCATCTGTCAAATGCCTACATGAATCCCAAAAGGACACATTTTAATCTTATGTAGATATTTACCTCGGTTTGGGGGCTACAGATGCTTGTCATCAGTAATCAGAAGGGAAGGTTACAATGGATATTAGGAAGTGCTCAATATACTTTTAAGCCAATGAATTTCACTTGTCAATAGCATCTCCCCCACTCTTGTTTTTTAAATGATGGGTTGATAATTTGTTACCCGTTACATGTACTGGGCACGTATATAATGCATATTCATTTCACCTAAATGCATTTCGTGCCTATGTGATGAAACTACTATTCAGGGAAGATCCTTCCAAATTTAAAAAGACAGGTGGTCAGAAGCCTACCATCTGCAGGCATGCACATCTGGATTGTGATCTAAAAGTACAAAAACGGAAAGATGCAAGGGTGGGGGGGCCTCAGAGGAAGCTGAGATTGCATGTGGGGGGTTGGGCCGCCTTAGGCAGCATTAGCATCAGGTGGTACTTTGAGAGAGGGCTTTCTGGGGGAAAAGGGAGCTTGGGGTCAGTGTGAAAGGGTGGAAGGAGGCGAGACAGAGGAAGAAGAGGGCACCCCGAAGGCATGGCAATGACGGGGAGAGCACCACCAGCTTGTTGGGGGCGAAGCTGGTGTCTTGGCTTGTCTGGATTCTAGAGCACACTGCAGGTGTAATAGGACATAATACTGGAGAAATCACTGGAGGCTCTATTGTGGATTGCTTCGAACATGGATTAAAGAGTTTGTTTTTATTCATTCACTGCTAAGCACCTCTGTGATAATGAAGGCCTCTTGTTCTTCAGCTGATCTAATTTGTTACCCTTTGGGACCTCTTTGGAGAACGGTCCTCTATGACAGTGGTTCCCAAACTTGAATAAAGCCTTATTAAAACACAGACCCCTGGGCTGCAGCCCTAGAATTTCTGATTCCATAGTCTGGAGTGGGTCAGGAATTCATGTTTCTACAAGTTTCCAGGTGATGCAGGTGCTCCAGCCCAGGTGGCACACTTTGAGAACCACTGACCTGGGGCCTGTCAGTTCTTGTACACACAGGCGAGCTACAGATAACCGGGCCCAACACACTGAGAGGAGACAAAGGGTATGTTTTGTCTGACACGTTACGGGGCCTGCGTGTATGTGTGTGCATTTCTGTATCTTGATGACTTTTTCCTATAATAACTGTATTGCCCGTGCCAGTGAAGAACGATTTCCTGAAGGATAGGGAACAGCAGATGATGTGCTTGCTGGTTCCTCTGTAGGGAACCTTGAGTTCTGTGCCTTAGGCCCCCTTTCCTTCGGGTCCTTCTAGATGAACGGTTTGCTGAACTGAAAAGGACTCCGTGTGCTTTGACTTAGAATATTTATTAGATTTTAGCCTTATTGTACAGTTTCAGTGATTTTTCCTGTAAATTATACTTAACGTGTGTATTTATTATCTTTGTTTAGGTGCTTCCGAAGATCCAAGACTTTCCCCTGATGGATCAGAACACAGAAAACCAAAGCAAATAAAATCGCCTAGTCAAGCCTACGTTGATCTACCTCTTTGGAAAGATGGCCAGAGAGAGAATCCAGTGGAACCTGGAAGCTGGGAGGAGGGACTGTCTTTGGGCCCTGCTGCCAGCATGCCTCAGGTGACCCCTACAAATAATCGGAGCAGATCCCCCCAGAGGAAGAAGACAGAGTCCGCTCTGTACGGCTGCACCATGTTGCTGGCGTCAGTCGCTCTGGGGCTGGATATCAGAGAGCTCAATAAAGCACAGGCTGCCGAAGAACTGTTGCCCAGAGAAGAAAAGAAGAAACGTGAGGGAATCTTCCAGTGGGCTCCCAAGTCCCGAGGTGGGGCCAGTCCTTCCACAAGGCCACCATCTACGGGCGAGAAGGCCAGCAGCCCACCCTTACTCCCTCCGCCAAGTGCCATGAGCCTTCTGTCCATGCCCTCTCTTTCCACAAAGTGCTTGCTACAGACGGACAGTGAAGAGTTGTCCGAGGGCAGCTCACCCATCGCTTTGGACCCCGAGATGCCCACTCCAGATTTTTGTGTTGCCATCAGAGAATGTAGTCATGAGCCAACCTCCATGCCGAGACTTGAGACTGATCGTAGTCGATGGAAAAACCTGTCTCCTCCTTTCCTAGAGCAAACGTGGGGGAATGTGCCTTATTATGCTTCTTCGAAAGAACAAGCATCATATCACAGACGAACCCTGTCTGATGGAAATGCTTTTCAGACCCCAAGTAGGTTGCATTAGTTGGGTCAAAGTACAAATCACCACTATAGAGATTAGAATGTAAAGTTGTGTGGTTATCTGCTTGTATCTTTTCCAAGTGATTACATTTACAAGCTTGTATGCACAGTTAATACAGCTCCTTGAATTTTACCCTGCTCTTTTATTTGACTTTATTATTTGAATTCCAGGAAAAGCATAATTTGATCTCAGCAACATCAGTATATAATAGCAAACTAAAATAGAACGAGCAGGTGGGGGTAACTGCCCCAAGCCCCTCACAGTAGAGAGGACAGGCCATCTGCCCACATCTGAACCCATGATTAGTTGGGAGAGCTGGAGCTGAAACTGGTCACCTAGCCTCCCCTGTGAGGAGGCGGTCTTCTGCGTCACCCGCCGTCACTGCTCAGCTTCCCGTCAGGTAGAAATTTAGCAGGGGGAAGAGTCAAATGGCACGCTGTGCAGGGGTTGACTATTCTTTCTTTTGTATATAAAGATAATTACAAATACATATCATGAGTATTAAGTGAGGTCATGTATATGAAAAGTGCTTTTTAGGTTGTACAGTGTTATGCTATATGGTTAGTTGTAAAGTATATTAAAACTGAAGCTGTTTCCATTCTCTTTCTTTTCCTCTGCTCTTTCAGTGCCCTACCCAGAAGTGATTTTTTTTCAGTTTATTGTCCATTGTCTTTAGATAAATGTCTTACTCTTTTGTAATACAGTAGACTATTAGTAATTGATGATTGAACAAGGAGAAATCCTAGGACAGTAATCCCATGAGAAACCATTCTTTTTCTCTTACTTACAATTTTCTAGAGTGGTGATGAATCCGGTCTTCAGGACAAGAAAGAAGGGGCAACATATAAAATCTAACTGCTTTCTTGCTGCCATCCATTTTTTCAGATCATAATCTGAAAAATCTGAAGTTTCATCATGTGCCCTTCATTTAAAAAACAAAACAAAACAAAAAAACCTTTATTCTCATCTAATCCGTCTGGAAACCTCCCCTGTTTCTAAAACAGTTACAACGATCATTGGTCCAAGCGCCATGAAGGTGATGCGGCTGTGTTTATGGTTCTAGTTTCCCTGGCGAAAACACTCTTTCCAACCTTGCAGTTACTTCTTCATAAACAAACAAACACCGTATCCCAATAGTTTTAAAAGATGTGTTGAGGGTGTTTTGTTGAAGCTCACTTGAAAGTGACTACCTAATTGATCCGGCCTCCTAGTTGCTTGTCTGGATGTTGACGGGCTTAGAAGTCACGGTCTAATTGCACACCGTCTTTGCTTTCTCGAGCAGCTGGTGCAACCCTCAGCTCAGCCCCCGGAGCCTCGGACCTGCCCCCGGAGTGGGCTCTGGGGATGCCCCGGTGCTCCGCTGGTCCTCACGGTGACCAGCCAAGGGAGGCCCCGCCTGAAAAACAAAGAGCCGCCACCCCCGTGCCTCTGCCTCGCCTTGCGTCCTTCCGAAGCCGCACGGAGTCGCAGCCCGCCGCGCAGGCGCACTCTGCCGGGCGGGGTCCCGGCCCCACCCGCGCTGGTCCCCCCGGTGTCAGGGACAGAACTACACCCCACGTGCCTTCCCTCCTGGACGCTGATGCCGAAGGCCAGAGCAGGGACCGCACGGTGCCTTTGTGCAGGATGAAGAGCAGAGGTAGCCGACCATCAGTGCATCACCTGGAGAAGGAGTTTCTGTCTTAAGTGCCTTATGTTGTTCGAGCATTTCTTTTGTTTTGTTTTTAAGGTGAACAAATTAAAACAGCGTGTCTACCTTTGAACTGTTTCATGCTGCTGTGTTTTCGAAAGTTGTGGCCATGTTACTAAAGTCGTAATGGATGGCAACCTTCTCGGAAAAGTGTATGTGATTGCTGTTAGCTGTCGTTTTTTTGCAATGTAAAGCTATGCTGGGTAGAATTACCTGAAGCGTAGTTGTAATGCTTCATTGGTTCTCACTGACATCCCCCAAAACCCAAATCGGGATGAGGTGCGCCATGTTTGTCCCTCACTTCATTTTCTTCCCATTTGCCTTCCTTCCTTCTCTTTCTTTCTTTTTTTTTTATTTTTCTCTCTTTTTTTTTTGTTATTTGTGCAACAAAAAGCCAAGAATAATGTGATATTAGTCACTAAAGGTATCTATTTAAAAAAAAATTAAAGACTAGAATAGATGGAGAGCCAATGACATCCCTGAACTGAGCAGTAGGTTTGTTATGCATAGATATGTCCAGGTGTCACAGGGATTATGCCTATTTCTCTCTTTGAGGAAATTTTGCTGAATGTAACTTGTAAACGTTTTACTGAATGTAACTTCTAAAAATGTCACCCATCAGAACCCCAAAACAGATTTTTAAAAGGTCGGTCATGGGCATTTGGCTAAGACCACATTATATCCACCTGAGCGAGGCTAATCTGTAGGTTCTTCCTATAGAAGTGGTTCTTGTTTTATCAGTAGCCACTTATTTGGTATCCAGACTATAAAGCTTTCTCATTTTGTAGTAGGATTTTTAAAAATTAAGTGACATATGTATTCACGTATTGTAAACATTCATGTCATTTAATTTTACTTTTCTCTCTATAAATGTATGGTTATTCTAACAATCCCAAATACCATTAGAGAGAAACACTGCCAAATCAAGAAATAGCAACACTGTTAGAATTTAAGTATTTTGTAGTTATCTTCACGTTTTAGTAAATTGTGGATAAATGTTAGACATTTGCTAAGATAAGCTGATATGGTAGAAATGACAAATACAGATTATTTTCAGATACGGGCTTTTAAATGGATCTGGGGTAGCGGATCAGGATTTTAAATGATTTTATGAGTCATTTTATAAAATCATACCTCTATGATACAAATAGACTACTGAGTTATTAAACTACAGAAATGCTATCCAGGAGCTTGTAAATTTGTCTGGGTTCTTTTGTTGAATTCATTATGCTTCCATTCTGTCACTAGAATGTGGTTATTTTGGATGACAATAAATACTTAAAATTTTGCACATAAGGAAAAACTAAATTATAAACATCGCTTGACATTTCATTTAAAATTTTACCTTGGTTCAGGTTTACTGAATAACTGAAATGTCAGCAATTTAAATCAGCTGTGATAAAATATCCACCTATAGCAGAAAAAAGAAAATGATATTATTTGGCCACTTGAAACATCAAGTGACTTGGCAGGTATGCCCAGAAGATGGTGAACAGAGCATGAAAGGATTATGTTAACATAAGTGCATTCTACCCCAAGGAAAACAGTCTTGGGTTTAAAATTCTTGCAGCAAAATCTCAGGTACTTAACTTTGTTTTGTCATATTATGGTCCATTCTATGATTTGGCTTCACTTTTGGGAGATTGTTGAAGTACTAAATCAAAATTTGATTTCCTCAAAATTGTATCACATTTGAAACTATGGTTGGCTGCTTCATTATATATGCAGTCATTTGGGGGCATTATTTCCTGCTAAGGGTAAAGGAAATACATGCCTAAAATAGCACATGAAAGAAGTATAGAAACTCTCAGTTTCGCTTCTGCCAAAACATCGTTTGTGTGTGTGCGTGTGTGTGTGAGTGAGGGGTGCAGGGTAGTGGTGGGTTTTCATCAGTCTCGTCCCTCTGCCCTGTTCCTGCTCCCATGTAGCTTCATTTTAGTCAACTCTACATTATTATGAATTTAGAAATGAAGCTACATTAAAAAGATAATTGCAGTACAAGGATTCAATCTCATGTGACAGCAAATAGTTGTGTTTTGCTGAGATCTGTTGTATATTTGCGATTTTCTATGTGTATTAGTATATTTAGCAGAATCTGGTTATTTATTTTCATGTAGACTTACTAGCTCGTTGAAAGAAAAATTAAGCTGATTACTATTAGTCAATGTTGAAGGTGCTCCCACTGCAGAAATTTAAGGCCTGAGCCTGTTATGCTGTATTATGAAGCCTTGTGACTGAAAAAGATGTTTACATATGTTGTCTATTTTTTTAATAAACTTTTTTTTATAGCTAATCTACTTGCTCAGTGGCTTTCATCTGATGATTGTGACTATAGTTCGTAGTGGTTTATTTTGTATTTAATAAGGAAAAGTATGTTAGTAAAAATCATTGATGCTTAATAAGCCAGGTATTAGCCTGCTAACTTCATTAAACTGAAGATCACTAAGTGAGTCATGGGATTAAGTACTTTTTAAAATTTTATTTATTTTTTAAAGATTTACCCATCTATTCTAGAGAGAGAGAGAAAGAGAGAGAGTGTGTGTGCACGGGGAGGGATGGAGGGAGAAGGAGAGAGAAAATCTAGCAGACTTCTGCTGAGCTCAGAGCCTGACACAGGACTCAGTCTCATGACCCTGAGATCAGGACCTGAGCCGAAAACAAGAGTTGGACACTTAACTGACTGTACCACTCAGGAGCCCCTGGGATTAAATACTTTTTAAAAAGTATAATGAGATTGTTTATTTAAAATGTCTGGTGTACATATGCATTGAAAAGTTGCATTTCATTGAGAATTTGGCAATTCCATCTTTTCAGAAGGCACACTTTTGCAACATGAAATTAGTATGAGCTAAATCTTGTTGATGCTGCAAGAATGTGATTAATGAGACATGCTAATTATTAACATGCTTGAATCAGAAGAATTTTAAGAATCATGAAGCATCCAGTAATTCTTACTTAGCAATGGAAGCTTGGGTGGATCAAGAAACAGATCATAGTATCTCATGCAGATTCAAGCATCACCCTGCCACATGAGAGGGATGGAAGTGTGACATCCATTGCATATCTGTGTTAGCAACCCTCCTAGGTACCTATGTAAGACACCTCCTGTAAATATCTTCAATAAAATTTGTGAGGCAAGTGTAGTATCCTTATTTCATTAGGAGTGAAATAGACACAGAGAAGTTTGTAGATTTCCAAAGACCCAAACTGTATCTAGTCCCTACCATCTACCTGTTCACACCTGTTGTAACCAACCATACACATAGTAGAGACGATGGAGACATCTGAAGTGTAAATTTTGTAAATGGAATCCAAAGCAAAGGTAATTTTTCATCAAAAAGTTCAGAAGTCTAGAAATGTATGAGTACTTAAAAGCAAAGCTAACAGTGGTTAATACAGTGGGATACTTTTTAAGTAAATGTGAAATGAAACCGAAAATACTAAACCATGCATACCTAATAGGTCAACTCAGAAGAATGGCATATTCTCTTCAGTAGATCGATACATATGAAGTTATTTAAGAACTGCAATGTAAATGTATAATAATCAGGCAGAAGCCGTCTATACTCTTGTGAAAAGGCCAACATGCTAAAACACAGTGAAAGATGAAGGTTTTATAAATGAAAAATGTAATAATTTCCATACAGTGGAGCAATTATTACCTATGTTTTTACATCCAAACAAAACAGGTAGGCTGAATTATGGAGCTTCCGTATGCTGACAGACTCACTGAGTGGCCCCTGAGGTCCTGGGAAAGACTAAAGGATTTAGTTGTGAGCAAGAGAGACACACCTATGAACTCTGTCTGCATGATTCTTAAGATCTAGTAAGAAAGACATTGAATGAGCCACTAAGCAGGGCCAGCTTCGTGGGCATGTGACTTGTTCTCTCATTCTTCTGTTCATAATCTACTGTCAAGCCCATCTGGTGGTTTTTCACTTTAGTTACCATATTTTCAACTCCAAAATTTCTATTTGATACTCTTTTTTATAATGTTTATCCCTTTATGGATTCTCTTGCTGATGAGAGTCATCATATCTTCCCTTACATTAATCGTGTTCTCCCTTAGTTTGTTGAACATATTTATAATGGCAACTTGGAAGCCTTTGTGCAGTCTGAAATCTTTCACAGGCCATTTCCGTCCCTCCTTATCCCCCCAGTGTATAGGTCATACTTTCCTGTTTCTTTGCCTATCTCATATTTTTGTTGTTGTTGTTGTTGTTGTTGAAAACCAGACATTTTAGGAAATGCATTGTAGCAGCTGTTGTTAATGATTTCCTTTACCCCCTCTCCAGGTCTTGCTTTGTTGTTTTTGTTTGGTTGGTTAGTGATTTGGCTAGACTATTTTACTGAGGTCTCTTTTCCCCTACAGTGTGAAGCCTTTGGTGTCACTCCTCAGGAGGTGTAGCCTTGGTATGCGCACAGCCACCCTGGGATAACAGAGTTTTAGCACAATTCCCTTTGACCTTCTCTCCCACTGATCTCTCAGTTATGCTGTGTGCTTCATTTGGTATTACACCCAGCTATTAGGGTCCAATAATTGCTGACTGGTGGCTCTCTTATTTTTTATTATGCCTGGGGCACAAATTGCTCTGCAGTCTATTCCAATTAATTTCAGACAGGGGTAGTTTGGGGGCCGGTCTTTAAAGCTTTGTTCTGACCCCAGGCAGGATCTTATTCAATGCCTTTTTGCCTGATTTTCTCTGATAAACCAGCTGACCTGTGGTTTAGCTTATTGCTCTTAATTAAGAGGAGCCACAGTTTTTGAGAATGCGCTTAGGCTTGAACTTCCCCACACTGTGTTTTAAGTAAAATTAATTCCTTTGGTGAAAAATTTGCAGCTCTGTTCTTGTGTAACATCTCTTGCCCTGAGCAAAATATCTGAGCCAAACTCTGGGCACTGAGTAGAGTGGTAACTTGTGATCTTCTTGGCTTGCTTCTTTCAGAGTAGAACCAATGCCCTCCAAGTGAACTTGTGTAAAAATATGTAGGAATCCAATACTCTCACTGGGGTAG